ACGCACACGCGCGCGCGCACAGACACACACACACACACACACACACACACACACACACACACAGAAGGAACTAATTTGTGACCTTGTAGATATAGTACTTTGTCTATCCTCTGTGGGATTTATATTAAAGGCAAAAAGAATGGCAAATATTATTGAACTTTATTTGGTAGGTTCGTTGTCTACAGTGGTCTTGACAGAGTCATTTCAAAACTTTTTTGTATTAATTCTAAGACATTGGCATGGCTGGGAACCAAGGTTCTCACCACGGGAAAAGAAAGATACAAGTAAGGAACAGGACAAGGAGAAAAAGAACATTGGGGTACTATACTCGAATTGATATAGACAAATAGATAATGTGGGTGTGTGTATATATATATATATATATATAGTATAAAGTTATAAATAAGTATATACTTATTGTGGAATATACTTATATTTATTCAATAAAAATTAATATAAATAAAATATACTTAATATAAATAAATGTTTTTAATATTATTTAAATTATTAAATGTATATTATAATAGATAATAAATGTATTATTTATTTTTACATACTATATATGCTATTTTACATACTATTTTATATACTATAAAAATATACACATATATATCCTAGTTCTATCCACTGAAGCGTGAAGTCAAGAGAAACTAGCCCACCGCCTTGGAACTGAAATACCACTCCTCTGCTAAAAGGAGCCAAGACTTCTTGGAGAAATAGCTGATTCCAGGTCTAGGGCAGGGAAAACACAACATGAGCTTAGACATTTTCTTACAACATAAAATAAAAAAAGCACTTAAAAATTAAAGGAGATATATCAAAAGGAAACAGCCAGACTGAGGGGGTTCCCACTCGACAAATGTGAGGGTAATGAAATATACTACACTGAATTTTCTTTTTTAAATCTGAGTCCACTGTGATTTTCAAAAAAGAGGAGAGGAGGGGGAACGGTAAGTTCTTCTTTAAACAAGAATGCTTCTACTTGATACAGAGAAATGACAGAATTAGAAAAATTACCATTTTGTAACCACCAACGTGATATTTGATTCAGACAAGGTTTATCACTTCTGCCAAAACCACTAAGTGAAGTATTGTTCGAGATTTTCAGGATTTTCAGTCTCAAAATATCCCCCAAATTACTTACTACCAAGGGATAAAAATGGAGAAATCTCTAAGTCCACCTAAACTAAGTAACTAAACTGCTATCATCAACCAAGGGATCAAACTTACCATCACCACATATAGGACAAACTGAGGCGGGGCTATAAGAACGTGTCACCCTCAGCTATGCAGTGTTCTTGACTATGACTATAATCTGAATCAGACAATGAGGAAATGATCCATCTGTGGAACTGTGAGACATTCTACAAAACATCAGCTCTGGAATGAACAAAATATCAATGCCATCAGAGACACACACACCCACCCCCAACTCCTTAAAAAAAAAAAACCCTAAAAAGGTGGAAGGCAAAAGATGCCTTAGATTCTAAAGACAAAGAAACACATATGTAGACTATCAATGGAACAAATGGGGAAATTTGAATATAGACTAGGTATTACATAATATTACGGAATCAGTGTTAAATTCCTTGAGCGTTATAAGGCACTGAAGCTCCATAGGAAAATGCCTTTATTCTCGGGAGTTGGAGCTCCATGCTGAAGTATCAGTTCAGAAAAAAACAGGAAGAGAGATAGGTGAGTATGCACAATTCAGAGAGCTAGGTCAAGCAAACGGACAAAATGTTAACACTTAAATCTAGGTAAGGGGTTTACAAGCATTCATGATACTTTCCTTTTAACTTTCCTGTGGTTTCAACATTTTTCCAAAATGAAAGTTAAGAAAAAATAAACTACAACCCTCTGGAAGACAGGGACCAGCATACTCAACTATAAATGTGCCTAACACAATGCTTGGTATAAAAGCAGGTAACTCAGGCCACCTGGGTGGTTCAGTCAGTTAAGCATCCGACTTCGGCTCAGGTCATGATCTTGGGGTTTGTGAGTTCAAGCCCCATGACGGGCTCTGTGCTGACAGCTGGGAGCCCGGAGCCTGCTCCGGATTCTGTGTCTCCCTCTCTCCCTGTCTCTCCCCTGCTTGTGTTCTCTCTCTCACACAAATAAACATTTAAAAACAAATTTTAATAAACAAATAAAAGCAGATACTTATTTTAAAAATAATGTTTAAATTCCCATTTTTCTACCAAATGACTTATGGGTTAGTTACAGAAAATACCAAGTTATTGATTTAAATTTTTTTTTTCAACGTTTATTTATTTTTGGGGCAGAGAGAGACAGAGCATGAACGGGGGAGGGGCAGAGAGAGAGGGAGACACAGAATCGGAAACAGGCTCCAGGCTCTGAGCCATCAGCCTAGAGCCCGACGCGGGGCTCGAACTCCCAGACCGCGAGATCGTGACCTGGCTGAAGTCGGACGCTTAACCGACTGCGCCACCCAGGCGCCCCCAAGTTATTGATTTAAATGTAAAATATAAAATATAAGAGGCTGAGTAAAATTAAAAATTCCTGTCTGTGTTTAAAAGCCTGAAAATTTGAGGGGCTCCTGTATGGTTCAGTCAGTTAAGCGTCCGACTCTTAATTCCCGCTCAGATCATGATCCCAGAGTTGTGGGATTGAGCCCTGCGTCAAGCTGAGTGTAGCACCTGCTTAAGATTCTCTCTGTCTCTCTCTCTCTCTCTCTGTCTCTCTCTCCCTCGCTCCCTCCCTCTGCCCCCCTTCCCCTGGGTGCTCTCTCTTGTGCGCGCGCCTGCACATGCACGCAAATTAAAAAAAAATTTTTTTTTGAGATTATAATCACTGCCAGTTTCTCCAAGGAGACTGGATGATTCCATTTACTTCCAAAGAACGTTCAGCTCCAGATGGGACCTTGCTGCCACTTCGTTCTTCAGTTTCACCTTAAAGAGAGTTGAGTACATCCTGAATCAATTCTTTCAGCCTGGTATTTTTCAGTACTGCCAAACACGTAAGGGATTTACAGTAGTAGCGGTAGCCAGACATAACCCCTAGCCCCTATCCGTGAGTAGTGACTGTTTTAATAAAAGCCAGACATGGGGGCGCCTGGGTGGCTCAGTTGGTTAAGCGTCCAACTCTTGGTTTCGGCTCAGGTCACGATCTCACCATTCACAGGTTCCGGCCCTGAGTCGGACTCTGTGCTGTCAGCGTGGAGCCTGCTTGGGATTCTCTCTCCTTCCCTCCCTCCGCACCTCTCCTGCTCGCTCATTCTCTCAAAATAAGTAAATATTTCTTTAAAAAGTCATATGTATAAAATACATCTTTCTCAGGTGCATTCATATACAGGTTATTTTATTTTTTAACACCCTATAAACTAGGCTGCTTTTGCTGTTTTTCACTCATGACTGAAGCACTAGGTTTTAGTATTCTGTGACCTAAACTGGGTACACCGTTTGCCAATCTGGCCCAGAGATGGGAGAGATTTGCTTCAGAAAAGGAAAAAAAGCAGAGACTAACATTCATGTGATTACTAACAAAACTAAAAGAAAGCAGACAGAGGTCTCTTCACAATGATGCGTGCTCACAAGATACGCACAAGGAAAAGTGAAGTTCAGTGTCATTTAAGCTAATCTGTACTTGAACCTTTTAAGAGATAAAACCATTTGAGCGGTAATTTAGTACTAAATTAACTTGGGTTTTTTTTTCTTCCTATCTATGAAGTTTTCATTGTTTAAGGAAAGGTTTCTGTAAGAGGAATGAAGCCATGCTCCTTTGCTATTCAGAAGAGTGAATCAAGCTGGTGACTTCTAGGCTGGGTAGCTTGGCTTATCACAGGCATATTCAGCAAAGAGCCAAACACAGAGCACATTTGGACATACAACCTTTTCCCAACACTATCCGCAAACACTCCATAATAAACAAGTGTTTTCATATCACGGAATTATCATAGTATAGAACCTTCTACCAGCAAGCTCTGAACGCTGCAAAGGAAGGACGCCAGACGAGGAAAAAAAATAAGGGAAAAACAGTGGCAGATAGTATTACCAGATAAAGGCTTTGAAAAAAATCCTTAAGATAGGGGCACCTGACTGGCTCATTCAGTTGAGCATGCGACTCTTGATTTCAGCTCAGGTCACGATCCCAGGGTTGGGGGATCGAGCCCCACATTAGGTTCCATGCTGAGAGAGGAGCCTGCCTGGGATTCTCTTTCTCTCTCCTTCTGCCCCCTCCCCGGTTTATGCATGCTCCCTCTGTCTCTCTCCCTCTCTCTCTCTCTCTCTCTCTCAAAAATAAGATATAATAGAAATGTTTTTAAATATAATATATAATGAGATTAGCAGTTAGACTGAAAAACAAATGTTTCATTTTTTTTCTTAAGCGAGTGACAGCGTACAGGTCTATGTGATCAACTAAAATGCGACCATTCTGATGCTAGAGATGACACAGCTTAGATAGGCAGGACTGCCCCCAAAGTCAAAGCTATTAAAAAGGCCCGGGTTTTAGCACACTGTCCTTCTGGCTCCCCAGGTAGGTACTTCTTAGTAACCAGACATTGTGAACATGAGCACCAAACACTCTTCTAAGGTGGTATATCTCTTGGATCATCTTCAGAGGGGTACATTTCATTGATGCCAAGTGCACTGCTCCCTGGCACTCTGACCCTTCTGAAGTCTTCCCACTCCTAAAGACTGGACTTTTTGTCTGAAAGTCTTGCTTTGCCAGCGTGTAATTTGTTAGGTCAATTACACCATTTTCGTGCTGTTAGTAAGTGCCCATATTCGAACGTGAATCACCAAACCGGCTCAATGCACCGTCAGCACACCGTTGTTTAAAATTGTCGCTCAGATAATGGCCACAATATCTGCACACTTCAGCTTACGGTAGAGAAACGTACTCACATATATACCTACAAAGCAGAAAAAGAAAGGACTGTGGCGGGGTGCAGATAAGCACATGTTGGTTAAACCAGAAGCTGCAAAGGGAAGACGTTTATAAGCAAGGGAGGCGAGGAGAATCAGCAGAGCCCATACCTGTAAACCAAAACAGTTGAGTGAAAAGCAGGTAAGAGCGCAGTTTCATGCAAGGACAACTAGCTGAAGGCTGGTAGCAAAACCACACTTTCTTCCTTGGTTCAACAGAGAAGCACCGGTCTTCCAGTCCCATCAGGAAAGGGCTAGAAAAGTAACAAGAAAGGAGGGCAATTAGAGGAGAACTGAGAAAGCAGTTAAGGAAGGAACAAGAAAGAGAAAGACAGAACAAGGTGGATTGTGAATCCGACGTGAGAAGCAAGAATTTGAGATTAGGTTTTCTGGAAGGGCAGTGTCATGACCATGTCCAGAAAAGAATCACAACACGGGTAGGCGGACTGATGTCCTGACTGGCGGAGGCTGGAGTCAGGGGAATTGGCTGGGAAGCTTCTGCTAATAAAACATGGTTTAGAGAGGACGTGGAGGCTTCCGGAGAAAGAATGTCGTTGGAGAAACAATCAGCCCCATTTTATTTCAGTCCAAGAGTGAAAACCAAGGAGGGGGGGAGAGGAAAAAAAAAAAAGACGACTCCAAATTTCAGGGCCCTGGAGACCAGGACGGCTGTGGTGTCATTTGCAAAAAATGGACACTTTGAGAAAAGTTGATACCTACGACAGGAAAGACGAAAGGTTCCGCTTCTGACATGGTAACTTCTACGTTCCTCCCAGCCAAGTGGCGAGCGGTACAATACAGACAATGGGAGAGATGGGGCGGGTGAACCCTTTGTAGGCAGATTCCTCCCTGCCCCCCTCCAGGGACCTCACAACTTAATTCCAATTTGACACTGCGGTCCAGGACTGGATGGCTGGAGAGCGAGCGCCTACCTTACCAAGGAAGACTGCCAAGGGCAAGATACTTATCCTAGGCATTTTTAAAAGCCCATGTCACTGGTATACCATCTTCAAACACCAAGTAGCATTTAAATATATATCACGGCGCTTTCATTTCAAGACTATTTAACATTTCTGAAATATCTAGATCAAAATGTTGGGTCAAATGACTATATTCCAGCAAGATATCTACTAAGAGAACAAATTTTCCCCACCCACCCCACATCTCTCTTAAGATAATCACCCCATTCAAGACACCTGTCAGTCATAGCAGACTTTTCTTAGTGCTGCTTCCTCTCAACCTTGCCGCCAAGGTGCTCTTTTGAGTAATAATAAAGGCCACATGTCACTTTTGCCGGGCATGTATATAAATACCTCCAGCTCCCTTTCTTCTAACCCTAGTTCAAGGCCAACTGTACCAAAGCTTTTGAGAACCAGCACTGGAAGAGCTTCAAAGAGAAACTGCCCATTAACCACAACAGCAGCTGCTGGCTAGAGCCTGCAATTTAAATCTCTGAAAAAGAAACTGTGGCTTCTGAAATTTAAACAAGGAGGTGCCACTTGTAATTACAAACATTCCAGTGGGTCCCTTCCTTCATTGATGGTTTCCAAACAAAGGCTTTTTATTCAATTTTGGTGGCGCTCCCCAATCCGCGGATGTAGGCATTCCTTTGAGCTTTTCTCGTGCGGTGGCCAACTCAGAAGAGGGGCACGGGAGGCGGGTTTCACCTGGCCAGGAATGCTCAGACCCCTCAAAACCATCTCATGTGTAATTACTTGTTTGGCTGGAAACCAAAAAACCAAATGCTTCAGATTTATAGTCCACATTAAATACATTTGAGCAAGAACCTCTTAACACGCACACACGCCCTCACAGTTCACGAACCTTGGAAAATGGAACCAACCTATTTTCCCCTAAACCAAAGAAGTTCATAAATTAACACTAAAGCGTCCCAACAGTTGTAGCTGAAATTACGAAATTCCTATTTTAAATCAACGGGGCAAATATTGAGAAGGACAAATAGTAACCTTTTCTCTCCTACCCCCATCCTGCAAAAACAAGGTACTTACAGCTTGCTGTCTGCATTTCCCACACCAAAGAAGGCATTTTGTGATCACTTTGGTTACAGAACAGAGGCTGAAATTAGCATTTAGCCAGTTCAAGATGAGAAAAGACATTTTTTTTCTTTTAAGTCATATATTCACAAAATGCAAAGGCATTTCTACCACGGAGGCATTTAAAGATAAATACATGAGGGGCGCCTGGGTGGCGCAGTCGGTTAAGCGTCCGACTTCAGCCAGGTCACGATCTCGCGGTCCGGGAGTTCGAGCCCCGCGTCGGGCTCTGGGCTGACGGCTCAGAGCCTGGAGCCTGTTTCCGATTCTGTGTCTCCCTCTCTCTCTGCCCCTCCCCCGTTCATGCTCTGTCTCTCTCTATCCCAAAAATAAATAAACATTAAAGATAAATACATGAATGAGGTATCTCACAGCCATCAAACTAAAATAACCCTGCCTACAGAAGTCCTCGGATGGAGAGTATTCATTATGAGAACAACTGGAAATGGCCAATCTCTCCATGGGTGCTTTCCATAGCCTGCCACAGTCGAGAGATTAGCTACAATTACGGCATATTTACACAACCGTATTTACACAACAATAAAACTCATCTTATCCGATCCAAACAAAACCTTGCTCAAAATAAACCAAACCACACGAAAAGGTCTCCTTGCAGACAGTAATCTGCGCTCTGGCTTCTCTTGTTTGTGCCTCAGCTTTTCCCACTAGTATAAGCCTTCCCTCTACCTTGGCAAAGCACGGGCAGGGCCAAAATTCTGTATACCAGTTGAGAAGCTGTACATTCAGTTCATGAGACTGTGATTATGAGAGGCGGGGAAAAGGTGACTGTATCTTAGGATAATCTTTCTAAAGTAAATGATGGAAGAAATGATAGGATGTCCAAGATTTGTTTAAACGACTCTGGGGAGTGGAGGAAGAAGCGTACAGAGGACAGACTGACCACTGGTGGATAATTTACTGAACTGGGTGACTTCCACACGGGGTTAATTAGGGCATTCTCTCTACTCTTGCATGTATTTGGAAATCTCCATAATAAAATGGAAAAATAAACAAAACATGAGCAACGTAAAGAAAAAAAAGTCATCTTGCAAACACAGTTTTTTTTGTTTTTTTTTTTTTTGTTTTTTGCTTTGCTTTAAAAAAAGTTGTCCTGGGGCGCCTGGGTGGCTCAGTCGGTTGAGCGTCCAACTTCAGCTCTGGTCATGATCTCACGGTTCGTGGGTTTGAGCCCTGTGTCGGGCTCTGTGCTGACAGCTCAGAGACTGGAGCCTGCTTCAGATTCTGTGTCTCCCTCTCTCTCTGCCCATCCCCCACTCACGCCCTGTCTCTCTCTGCCTCTCAAAAATAAAGAAAACTAACAAAAAAAAATTTTTTTAATTAAAAAAAAAATGTTTAAAAAAAGTCGTCCTCAGCTCTCTCTCTGCTTAAAAGAAAAGGGACAAATACCCGGTAAGAAAATCAAGCGGTGTTCTTGTTCTTGACTTAAGGATCCTTCCTTTTTTTCTTCGTTACATGGAACCAGTTCTACTGTTACTATTAATCCTTGAAAAGACAAATCAAGAGTTTAAAAATCAAAAGCTGCGGCTTCTGAAGCCCAGTTCTCACACATCGGACTTACTGCAGTGACACAAATCCAGGAGCTCTCCCCTATGAAGGTGCTTTGGACGACATTCATGTTGTAACTGCCAAATAAAGTCCACAGATTTCAGAATCATTTGTCAATACCAAAGACAACCTTACCAAGAACTGGTCCTTTTATCTCAGAGGTCACTCCTCTGATCCAGAGGTTTATTACCTAGAACAACAATTAATCTTGCTGTCTTCTCAATATAAACTAGCCTTAGCCAAGACACAGTTCTACCCATGATCCACATCCCTCACTGGGGTATCCCTGCTGGGAGGTGGAAGAGAAGGTTTGCTGACTTGACACCAAGGGGCCTGCTCCCAGGGGGCCGGGCTGGGTAACTGACTTATCCTCAGTTCCACGGTCAGCAGGGTCCTTCTCTGTGGGCTTTGGCTGCCTCGCTGTAAAATTATGAGATTTCACCAGACGATTTTTAACATCCTTCCCTTTGCAAAAATTCCATGATTATAAGAATCTCTAGTTCCTGAACAGGTAATAAGAAAAAGCAGCTTTGGTGTTATGTTCCATTTTCTATTAAATACATGGCAAGGTGAACATGAATATTGTATCGGGTGAGTGTCTGTATACATGCATATATACGTACACATGCGTGTATAGATATACACATCTGTATGAGTGCGCATACACACTGACTGATACCATTAGGCGCTTATATGGGACTAATTGCTCCCAACTCAAAGCAGCAAATTTTCAATTCTGCAACAGATGTCGCTGTGTGATTTCTCCTTTCTGTGCTGGATTTTCAGTGAAAAATGCCCAGCGTAATGGTCAGTACTATTCTTCACAAGAAAGAGATACAGCATTTGAATCCTTAGGATTTATTTCTTATAAATTTTCTTCACATGCTGGTAAATTTCCATTCCAATGATACCATAGATTAGTTTGGCCCAATTTAAGAGATCTCCCCACACAAAAACAGGCCTTTTGTCAAACACACACACACACACACACACACACACACACACACGCATACACGCACACATGCACCCATTTTTAAAATGTACAAGCTAAGCGGCCAATTAGGTATTAAAATGTCACTTACAAAAACCCAGAGAATGAGACAGTTTATATTCACAGCAATATTATCCAGTTTTTAAAGCCTGAAAATCATTTAGCAATGCAGGCCAAGGAATTATAAAAATTCACGTAGGTACGAGGCAAAAATGTACCAGGTGCAGGCAAAAGCCACCAAAAACTCCAAGAGCACCATTAATGATATTGAAGACTGGGGATTTCAATGTTTATGGCATTTCTTTAAAAATAAATAGTCAAGACTAACATTAGAGTTTGCAAGATACCTTACCGATCTGACATTCTCTCTCAAACCACTTCTTGACACATGTCAAAAAAAAAAGTGACACCTCTTTCCCTTCAACCAGTAAGTCCTCTAATGACCAGGAGTCTCAACAGGTAGCTAGCACAATCTTCTGTGGAAATTCAGAGCTGGGAAAAAGCATTTCAAAATCTCTCTTTTAGACCCGGGAACCTGTTACCTTCTGGGCTTTTAGAGGGAGTGGAGCAAGACGAGCAGTCAGGGAGTCCAGGCCCAACTCGGTAAGAATATGAAGTCAGGAAGTGAGGGAGGAAGCGAAAGTGTCCTGCTTGTAAGGCTTCTTCCCTGTCCCACTCCCCTTCACCAGGAGGGCCATTGGGGAAAACTGCATAAAGCGTGTACAACATCCATATGAATAAAGCTCTTTGTTCCAGGGAACTGCCTGCTCTTTTATTCCCCCCTTTTTCCGTATTTGTTCATTTCAAAAGATTGCTCAATGGGCCTCTTGTTCCTCCAAAATGTCCCAGGCAAATAATGCAAGCTTGTCTCGTCACACAAGTCACTAAATGAAGCCTTGTGCGTCTCCAGTGACACACTGTAAATATAAAGTGGCATTAATGAGGGATATTTTATCAAAGCT